CGAAATCATGACTAGATTCACGTGTTTCTATTATATGCGTGATCCATAGCTACTTTGACCAATACTACATTACCACCTGGTGGTCATTTTGTTGGTGTCAAATGAAAGAGTCGAAACATGATCCAAGAAACCATCAGTGTTTGCCAAGTTTGTGTTGTCAGCTTGGCGGACTGATTAGTTTTGCCTTGATTTTGAGTTAATTACTGTTGGGTTGGTGCAACGCAAAACATTTTCAAACACTGCCTCCACAGTGGAAACATTAAATAAGAGATAAGGATTGGTTTAAGTGCCATATGTTTGAGGGCATGTTAGGATGCAGTCTGTGTTTCATTTCTTAACTGTGCCACAGGCCGTACATATGGGTAGGAACGGGAATTGTCAGTACAGCTGCCTACCCATATCTTGCACTGAACAGTTGTGTGAATAATTTGCAAGATGGATATGCAAAAGACAAAACAGAGAGAGAATAGAAAATGCTGAGGAAGTTGACCGATGGTATGAAGAGTCATTGCCTGTCAATTATGAGCCAGCACTTCCTATGACAGTAATGTACTACTAAGCTTTTAATTCCTGAATCACCGGAAATAAAGAACTTGTTGAATATAAGTCGGTTCTTAAAACAAAATCTGAGGACTATTTTGGCAATATCAATAAGTCGGTACTAGTCGGGAGAGTGCTTACTAGTCTTCTAGCCCAGTCCAGGAATTCCTCTGGAAGTGTGCGTATAGGCGCATAATGAAATAGCTGGGATATAATGACTTCCTGCGCGGTGCGATCCGTATCACTTTCTGGAAACCATTGTGAGAATTCTACAATAATCAGGAAATCCACCACATGCGAAAGATGAATGTACGAGCCTGGCGTGGTACACACAATAGAAATTTTCAAATATTTGTAGAACAGTAGTATAGTGAATAACAATCACGATTCGAAGGATCCGGAGACAGTGAAAATACGGAGTTTAGCTATCTCTCGGTTCTTCCAAATTTTGCACAATGTGCTCATTTCACGCAGTCACTAACAATGATCGAGGAATAGCAAGGGAAAAGAAATCTTGCAGAATAACGCAGTGAATTGCACAAGGGATGGTTGCTTGCAAAATTGTACACGGACGTGTGTTTTGGCTGTAGAAGCAGAAGATCATGGGGAGCCGAAATTAATTGGTCGCACATTGGTTTACGTCCGATTAA